CTTAGCAAATTGAAAAGACAAGAGATTATTATTTTATATTCTAGCTTGTCAATATCAGTAATTTGAGTTTCTAATTCAGTCGAAACTATAGACTTAGTATTTTGACTTCACAAACATCTAATTTGAAGTAGTGCTGCATTCAACATACCACGTGACACACAAAAATCAATGTTTATCTGTGTTTTTAATTTTTGCTTTTAAATTAAGAAATTGAGTAATATATAGTACTAAAATTTGAATTATAATCTACAGTTGGATAGCAAACTTAAGGGAATAAATTCATGTAATGGTAGTTCAATAAAATTTTGAATGCGAGTCAACAAACAAGACAACATGGCCTTTCACCCATGACCCATCTCGAAAGGGTTAAGTATTCTTCTGCTTTCACGGCCAATATTTTACATTGGAAAATATGCCAGCTAAACCTTTAGTGTACATGTTGTTAATTTCACTGCTAATCTTGTTTCAACATCAACCATAATTTCAAAACCTGACATCTATATACATAGTATAAAGAGGAAATCATGATTTTTTTATTATTGAATAACTTAAACTCACCTGTACTCAAAGTCCTCATCTTTTCCAGCCAAGAAATTTTCATACATAATATTCATAAATTCATTCCTCAACATCAATTTTTCATGTTCTGATATTTCGTCAGTCATTTCTAAAGAAAAAACAGAAACATAAGAATGTACAAAATCATGTGTGATCACATGTAGTTGTTTATTCATAATGTATATGTGCCTGTACATATTTGTATAATATGTGCAAGCTTCAAAAATGCTTTCTATAGTTCTTGTGCAGAGCTCAGCAAATGTTTTTGTAAGAATTACAGCAATACTTTGAATTTATTTCATATGCAAAAGACCAAATTAAAATGTTCATTTATATATAAGTTTACAAGTAATGTAAGGTAAAGACATTTTCTAAACTGACTTTTCCAATCACTAGTTTTACAACACACACAAAAAAATATAACTACTTTTGCAGTGTTTTAAGTATTCAAGCTATCTAGTATAATTATGCAAAAGTTTGCCAGTAGCAAAAGAAAAACTTCTAATGACATAATCAAAGAAAAACAAGTTAAATGACAGCATTAAATTCTACTTTTCATTTCAATTTCAGTATATTATTGTGTACCTATAAAAAAATTTAAATCTTATAACACTATGGACATATGGTACTAAATAATTAGCATTCACATTCACTATATCAAAGATAGTAATGCTGGTATATTATATAATCTATAAAATGTCACTTAAATACTTTATCATCGTATGGTAGGCAAGCCAAAATTACTTCTGTGGAAAGCAAAACAACTTAGGTAACCTTTGTTAAGTTTTTGTCCACTGGATTATTTAGAATTAATTTACATTCATTTTATGAGCCTTTCAATATAATTTGTTACTTCATGGCTAGATTGATATCAAGAGTGAGCTTTATTTAAAAACCGTACATTTAAAGGGACTGTTTTTTTTTATATGCAGAGATTTAGAGTATATGTTAAGTGCATAACGTGGAATAGTAAAAAAAAGCTTATGATGTTAAATTATTAATGAAAATAATTTTATATTTTCAAAAGTAAGGGCTTTGAAGAGGAAGGAGGAGGTAAGTATGATAATGAGTTAAAAGAAACTGGAAATTTCTGTGTATATCTTTTCCTACACTTAAGTCAGTTAAATAGATTTAATGAGGTACAAACTTTACTAATTTCAAAGTTTTCATTATTTACACTTACTGGTTGAGAACACACAAGTTTATGTGAGGTGGGGATTTGTTTATCTGATGGGTAAGTTCACATGCTGGTATCAGACAAAATTTGTGTAACAATGTGACAAGAACTACAAAACATTCTCAATATCTTGTATGTGTGTAAGCTAATTACTTAAAAGGGAATTCCACATTTAAAACGACAGCAATTAAAATGTTAATTAGATGCTAAAATACTGATATAGCGCATCTAAAATAGTTTAACAAAATTCCCCAATTAACCACTACTATTTTCCTTTACATAATGGTAGGTTCTGGAGGCGTCTCTTTTTACCGTCATCTTCATTATTCATACTCTGCTACAGCATACAAATATACAGAAAGATATGTGCATATGATAGGGTTAACAGGGCACACCTCAATGCTCATGTACTTTAATATATGTTGCAGAATTCTATGACTAGAGGCAGTACAAATCACCAGAAAATTATGAATAAAACCTGAGAAAACTTAAAATAAAAATCTGTGGAAAAATTGTAAAATTATGTATGGCATCTCCTTTATTTAATATTTGCAGTAATAATGGCTTATTGTAAAAATCAAGCAGACATAACTATATCAATCAATTTATGGATAAAATGATCCCCATTTAGTGTATCAAGCATTTAGTAAGTAAATTAAAAAAATAAATACAAATGATTCTGTACAGTTATGTAATAACTAATTATCACACAGGCAGTAGAATTGCCAATGTAAGGACGTCTCGGATTGTTCATTGAAATGGTATCTTAAATATCTCCTCAATAGGATATCAGAACTTTACAATACTGTACAGTGTTCCTTTTACAACAATATCTGTGTAATGACTGAGTCAAGTACAGGGAAGTTTGTAGTCTGTAAATATCATAGTAAAATGTTCAGATTTATTGTTCTTTTTTTTCTGTTTTATTTTTATTACCTGATAACTCAAAAACCAAAACAATGGTGTCAACCAATTTCACTAAGGTAAAATAGTTTCAAAAGAGAATCCCTTTTTATACGTATTATTAATAACTAGTAGTAATTTTTAAAAAAATCATAATTCTAGTGTAAACAATGTTATCAATACCCCTTGAAGTTAACTTCTTATAGAAATTTGGTGTTCCTTTAAAAAACTCAAGTACAGGATGAAACAAGAATTACCAGCCAA